GTACAATTGTTTCAAAGAAAACAATAAGTAATGCACTCAACCGCTGTGGCCTGTATGCACGCTCACCACGCAAGGCTCTATTGCTGAAGAAAAAGCATGTTGAAGCTCGTTTAAAGTTTGCTGCACAACATTTAGACAAGCCTGTGAAATACTGGGAGAATATAGTCTGGTCAGATGAGCCAAAAATTGTCTTTGGATGCCATAATACACACCATGTTTGGAGGTCAAATGGCACTGCACATCACCCCAAAACATCATGGTGTAGCACTGGCAAAATTCATATAATTGAAGGAAAAATGAATAGAAAAATGTACCGAGACATTCTTGATAAAAATGTGTTGCCATCTACCAGGATGATGAAGATAAAATGAGGGTGAACATTCCAGCGAGACAATGATCCCAAACACAGCCAAGGAAACTCTCAACTGGATTCAGAGAAAGAAAGTAAAGCTGCTAGAATGACCCAGCCAATCACGTGACTTGAATCCAATAGAAAATCTATGGAAAGAACTACAGATCCGAGTTCATAGAAGAGGCCCACAGAACCTTCAAGATTTGAAAACTGTTTGTGTGGAAGAATGGGCCAAAATCACACCTGAGCAATGCATGCGACTACTTTCTCCATACAGGAGGCGTCTTGAAGCCGTCATTAACAACAAAGGCTTTTGTACGAAGTATTAAATAAATTTCAGTAAGCGTGTTCAATACTTTTCCCCTGGGTCATTCCATTTTATTACACAGAACTTAATTTCTGAACTTATTTGTTTTCTTTTCTTTTTCTGCTTTTACCCATCATGAAATGTTTCTTGTGTGACACGTTGGTCATGAGACACCTTTTTATAGGCCAACAGTTGAAACTGAAGCAGCTATTTAGAAAAATGGTGACGTGTTCAATACTTATTTTACCCACTGTATATATATATATATATATATATATATATATATATATACACACACACACACACATTTAAATGAATACAATATTGTAATATGTTTAAATTAATTATTATATAAAATCATTTTAGACTTTGAGTAGCTTGATGTAAAAACAACAACAACACTGCTAGTGGAAAAAATGAATGTCATTGAGGCCAGTTTTTTGTGTGATGAAAAACCCAACAGGAAGTGTGTTGAGCAGTGAGTTTGCGTGGGTATCCGTCACAAACGGCATCAAATGCTGCAATACACAGAAAAACATTGCGTGTTATGAAAACATACTTCCAAGTACTGCATGAATATTCATGCACAATCATCTGATGACATTATCATGACGTCTGTCTTGTTTTTTTTTCTAATACAGATAATAATCAGAGCCACGGAGAGAAAGATGAAGAGCCCAAATCTCCCTCTGAACAAGTCAAAGCCGGACTAAACGTCTGTCCCAGAGACTCGGGCTGTTACATCGGATCTGACTGTTCAGACAACAGTAAAGAGGACACAGAGACCCAGCCGGCCCCTCTCAACCCACCTGCAACCCAAGCATAACCACAGCCCTGCATAATGCTGTTCATCTCGTCCTCGCCTGCCTCTGGTTGGTGCAAAGACTGTTAGCCGCCGGCCACAACCCTTTTGACTGTGTAAAGCAGCCTTTGTGTTTCAGAGCTGTTGCATTAAGGTGTCTCTGACGACACTGGATTCTCACATCATGGACACTGTGAGAAGTAGTTATAGATATGAAAGATGACATGTAAATATACTGTAAATATGGTGAAAGTGGTGAAGCTTTGCTCTTGTAAACCGTTTCAACTTTGCCTTGCAGATGCTAGACAAAATGACAAACTATTGAGATTACAAATGCATTATTTTCATGCAATAAAAAGATATCTTTATATCGTACTAATTTCATTTGTTACATATGTCAGTCATATTAATATAGCGATATTTACTGGTACAGATGGGGCTTGTGTCAGTGGCTTCCTGAAACTAAAAGTGATGAGATCGGTAACACTCAGTAATAACGTGCTGCCATCTAGTGTGAGCACTTACTAACTACAGCCATAAACAATAAGCAAACTCCATCTTTTACATGAACGATGCGAACGTAACTCAAAATTGTTGAAAAACGTTTGGCAAAATATAATCTCACAACTTTTGCTGAAGTCTGTCTTAAAAATAACAGGTAATACTTTATAATAACATTAACAAATATAACAATTGTTTATTAATCATTAGTTAATGCACATTCAAATATGTAAAATTGACTTAAACTTTGATTCATCGAGTTGATTTTTTAATATGCATGAACTACAGACTTTTTTAAATGATTATACACTACCGTTGAAAGTTTTGGGGTCAGCAGGATTTATTAACATGTTTTTACATCTCTTATGTTCACCAACGTTGCATTTATTTAATCAAAAATACAGTAAAAACAGTAATATTGTGAAATATTACAGCAATTTAAAAGAACCATTTTCTATTTTAATATATTTATATATTATATATTTGATATCTATTTTCCTATATATTTGAAAACAGTTGTGCTGCTTAATATTTTCCCTCAGATAAAAATCTAGTTCCTTTCCACTCAAGTGTCTGATAACTTTAGTGACATTAAAATTGAAAACAAAACAAAGATGAGATAAAATACATTTAAATGTTTTTTTAAAAAAAATAAAAAGTCAAGTTTGATCAATTTAAAGCATCCTTGCTGAATAAAAGTAGGCTATTAAAATCTTACTGACCCCATGAGCCATTTACACCAATTTGTTCTGCTTGCGAATAAATATAGCCAATGTGTTACCCAATAATATACAATAAAAACCTGTGATGTTTTGAATTACCATAAGTATCATTCTGAGAGACTAAAAAAATAGGCCTGTCTACTGCAGCACAGGATGAACTGAGCCAGTTTGTGCACAAAAGTGGCTCAATTTACCGGACTTCACTTGATATACTGCTTCATTTCCAGTAATAATTCCCTTCAAAACCCATTTGAACACCTCATGAAAAACACTCTTGATGCAATTCAGAGATTTCATTACAAAATAAATCACTTAAAAAGACATCGATACAGCAATGTAAATGAAAACTGATCTTAAGCTAGTGCAATGAGATACGAATCACCAGCAAGCAAATCACGTTACAAAAATAAAATAAATAAAAAATAAATAATCATATCACCCTACAGTCAAGCTTTACATGAGCTAGTTTGAGGTTCAAAAACCATCTCTGAACCTTTGATTTCTGCATGCTTTTAACATTAAATCCATTAATCTTCTGTCTGTTCTTCACAAACATTAATAATAGGACACTTTTATTACCTGCTCTCATCAGATTGGACTCTAAACTTTACAGTGTACAATAAGCCAGCTCCATTTTAAATACGGTTCGATGCAGAAAAAATACATCAGTACGTAAGGCATCAAAGCAGAACACTGAATCAGTGGCATACAGTCCCAGAGAGTCCGTGAACCAACAAAAACCATTCAAAATAATCCACTGGAGATTATTAAGCAACTCAGTCTAAATGAATGATTTTGAGCTCGATATGTTCGATCCATAAAATGGATTCAAGTCGTCACTAAAGTTTGTTTGCATGACGTGCGGGCATCATGATGTCATCGCGTGCATAAGCGTCCAGACCGTTTCCTGTGTACACGGACAGCTCATCTGTGCTCCCCACACCGTTGCTGATCTCTGAAACCAGCACAAAACTCATTAGCCAGAGTTTCACAGGGCAGATTTCTCCACTAGGGGGCACTTTTTTCTGAATCACTAGCCGAGTATGTGAATCATCTTAATATTATTTTAAAACATTTGGTTGGCTTCAATCATATAATGTTTCACTGGAGCTGTAATGACTCCAGTAAACTCTAAGATATTACTAATATTGATATGAAATATTAATATTTGTGCGTAATATTAGTAATATTTGTTATGCTTATACAAATGTTTGAAAGCAACACACACATGCATACACACATATATATATATATATATATATTTATATACTGTAAAGACATCGATACAGCAATGTAAATGAAAACTGATCTTAAGCTAGTGCAATGAGATACGAATCACCAGCAAGCAAATCACGTTACAAAAATAAAATAAATAAAAAATAAATAATCATATCACCCTACAGTCAAGCTTTACATGGGCTAGTTTGAGGTTCAAAAACCATCTCTGAACCTTTGATTTCTGCATGCTTTTAACATTAAATCCATTAATCTTCTGTCTGTTCTTCACAAACATTAATAATAGGACACTTTTATTACCTGCTCTCATCAGATTGGACTCTAAACTTTACAGTGTACAATAAGCCAGCTCCATTTTAAATACGGTTCGATGCAGAAAAAATACATCAGTACGTAAGGCATCAAAGCAGAACACTGAATCAGTGGCATACAGTCCCAGAGAGTCCGTGAACCAACAAAAACCATTCAAAATAATCCACTGGAGATTATTAAGCAACTCAGTCTAAATGAATGATTTTGAGCTCGATATGTTCGATCCATAAAATGGATTCAAGTCGTCACTAAAGTTTGTTTGCATGACGTGCGGGCATCATGATGTCATCGCGTGCATAAGCGTCCAGACCGTTTCCTGTGTACACGGACAGCTCATCTGTGCTCCCCACACCGTTGCTGATCTCTGAAACCAGCACAAAACTCATTAGCCAGAGTTTCACAGGGCAGATTTCTCCACTAGGGGGCACTTTTTTCTGAATCACTAGCCGAGTATGTGAATCATCTTAATATTATTTTAAAACATTTGGTTGGCTTCAATCATATAATGTTTCACTATGACTGCAATGACTCCAGTAAACTCTAAGATATTACTAATATTGATATGAAATATTAATATTTGTGCGTAATATTAGTAATATTTGTTATGCTTATACAAATGTTTGAAAGCAACACACACATGCATACACACATATATATATATATATATATTTATATACTGTATGTGTATATAGGTGTGTGTTGTTCTGTAATTTGTAAATTTATATATTTATACGGCAAACCTCCACATATAAGTCACATATACATATGCATTAATTTTTGATATATACAGTATATATATATATATATATATATAGGTCTACACACACACATGCACATATACATTAATTAATTTAATCACATGCATTTACATTTTTTTTTATTTCTGCACAAGCCAAATGTTGTCATTGAATTAATATTTATATATAGATGAATTAGGGTATATTTAAATATTTATTTATACCTAATGCATTAACTACTGTTTTATCTTATTGTAAAGTGTTATCATATGCAGATATGAATACAGATATTGATGGTGTATTATGATCACCACCAGGGGGCGATGTACCACAGCCATATGCAGAGGTCACAAAGACTTAATTTGTTCTGCGGCTTTATTAACCAGGCTTTATCTCCACAAAGCTGTGTGCTCACGAGTCTCACCTGAGAAGATCAGTTTCTCCTTCATGAGGTTGATGTCACGACTTGGCCGACGTACTACAGCACTTAGCATGATCTGCTCCGGGTTGTAGCTGCGCATGCCACTCATCTTCCACCTGAGGAAAAATCACCAAAACACACTTCTGAGGGTCTGAAAGTGCCAAAAAGTGCTGGTCACTAAATATCACTTGAGATATTTGATGAGAAAGTGAGAGAGAACCCTAGAAGGGTTAAAAAGGATTGAGGAAAAGAGCGACACTGAGGTAAAAACACACAAGAATGATAATTACTGGAACAAAACACAACCAACAACAAACACAAACAGAAAAAAAACAGAACAAATAAAGACCAAAACAGTCAGAATTCTGTCCCTAAAATACTCATCCTCATTACCTGATCAGGTGATAGCTGAGCAATTTCAGCGAGCAGCGGAGGACAGGCACATGTAAAGAGCAGAGGACAGAGAGATAATGGAGGGAAAGTAGAGAGTGCCAAGAAGAAAAGAGCAGAGCCATCAGTTGAAAAGCACCTGGCCGCCCAGCAGAGATATAGCAAGCATGCTAACTACAAAACAACCTAACATTAACGCCAAGGACTGCTCTGAAAATCAAATAGGCTTTCGTGCAAATGTGTGCAATTAAAGCCATTAACTGACACAGCAAAAAAGCTTCCAGAATTAACAAGTATTAAGAAACAGCTCGAAGGACATACTAAAAGAGATTCACTTACTTCTGAAATATGAAGATGCCAATGACAATCGCCACAGAGATTAAATCTGAAGTGATCCATATCAGGCCATATTCATCTGCACTCTACAAACCGTTAAAGCAGCATTTAGCCATTAGATATCAATGTAAATAACATTAAAAAAAGCAAATGAGGGGAAAACAATACTGGCAGAATCCCAATAAAATAAAATTACAATATATAAAAAATTATATATACTATAGATAGATAGAAAGATAGATGATAGATAGATAGATAGATGGATAGATGATAGATGGATAGATGGATAGATAGATAGATAGATCTCTAATGTGTCTAAATATTCAGCCTTCAGTACTATTTCCAGGGAAGTATTCCAAAGCTTTTTGGCACTAATTTTGTCCACAAACTCTTGCACTACAGATTTTTCTGATGCAAATGTATGCAACCATTTGCAACATTATTTCTCAAAACTGATCTTGCAACATATATAAAGCATGCCAATTTAAAATCTGCAGTATTCTGTGGAACGGATGTTAAAATGTGTTAAACAGGGCCAAGATTCTCTACATTCTCCTTGAAAGCTGACAGCATAATCAAATGAACTATTAAATGAACATCCGGCCAATGTGTAGGACTTCATGAATGACAAGCGTTCCAAATCTGTGGGAAACTGGCCTGCTTTTGAGTGTGTACTTGAGCGTGGCCAGCAGAGTATGTACTTTTCGTACGTAATAGGAGTGTGTGAACTGGGATTCAGCCAGAGAGAGATCAGTACCATGATCCAGATAGGATTAGGCACTTTCTTCAGGATGTGTGGAGCATCAGAAGAGACGGACTGAACCCCGCTGCACCACATGAGCGAATACAGCCACGGCTCGTTCACCGGATACACGTTCACACTCACATTACTGCCAGAAAACTGCCTGCTCACAACACACACATACACAGAGAGGAAGCTTGCTTGGTAAAAGTATTGCAGAACAAAACCTCATGCCTACTTTCATATAAATTAAACAATAAAATTGATGATAAAATATATGCATGTATGCATGCATGTATAAATTTAAACTTCACACATTAAAATATATATTATACATAATTCTAAATGCATTGTAATATATCATAGTAATAAAAAATAACAATAAACAATTAGTTCTCAAAACATTACAAAGACCCATAAATGATCTAAATACATCTATTAAATTTAAATTGTAATTAAATTAAATTTTACATCTTCACCTTTTCATATTTTAAATAACTGTATGTCATATGATAACTCCATATTAACATTTTAATACACTATGATTTTACCGTAATAGCAATAGCTGGCTTGTTATGATGTTGTATTTCAATGCAAAATGCTTTCAGTATGCTATTTAATACAGACTGAGAAAGGCAGATGTCTGCTGACGTTCTGAATGCGTGTGTGTGTGTGTACCTGATATCCTGAGCTCTGGCCTGGCTGTAGTGCAGGGTCAGAGTACTGATCCCTCTTTCTTTCAGCTCAGCCACAGGAAGTTTCTCATCTGACGTCTGCTGAAGGAGAGGAACCGCTGCACGCACCTTCTTCCTGTACCAGTCAGGAGTCCACATCACCTACACACACACACACACACACACACACAGAGACACAGACACACACAGACAGAGTAGCTAATTAAGCACTTTTCATATTTTTCTGAACATTAATACTGAGTATTAAGACTATTAGACAACATTTCAACTAATTATATAAAACTGGTAAATATTTATTTATTGCTCAATATTTAAAATTTAGAATGAATAAGACATTAGACGAGATTTCTAATTTCTTCAAGTCATATAAAAATAAATACATAAATTTTTAAATATATATTTTAGATGAATTCTGAATTTATTGGTTATCTAATAAACTAGCTTAGAAAGACCTTTTCTAATAATATACATTTATTAGGAATATTTTATCAATATTTAAAATGGAGTTAGAAGATTTAGATGGAATAATAGGACATATTTCAGCTAAATATCTAAGAATAAATACACACATTTTTAAATATTCAATATTTTAAAAAGCTTTTTTGGCACATAGTTGATAAAGGTCTTAAAACCTTATTAAGAATATTTTTCTCAATATTTCAGATTTAGTCGGAATAAGACATTAAACAACATTTCAACAAATTATATAAAAATATATAAAAAGTATATTATAAATGTAAAATATTTTTAGATGAATTCTGAATTTCTTAGAATTGTTGGGCACAAAGCAGCTCATGAAGGTTTTTTCAACTGTTAGAAGCTTATCAAGAATATTTTTCCTCAATATTTCAGATTTAGACTGAATAAGGCATGACAGACAATACTTCAATACATTTTCACTGTTCAGATGTTGGTTTAAGATGGTCTTTAGATGAAAATAGATTTTTTTTTTAAATCAGAGGCTTGCTAAGTGTGTAAATGTATGTGTTGCTGATGGCGGGGGTGTTGAGGTGGAGGTCCCCGCAGGCTGAAGATCACGGAGCGGTTTGTTCTAGCAGCCAGACGCAGCAGCTCCGCGAGGCTACACACCGTCTGATTGGCCGTGCGGTTGCGATCCTTTTCAGACATGTACTGCACAGTCCAGTACGGGTCATCCTGAGGGACAAACAACCTCAAAATCTTTATTAACTGTGAAGATGGACAAAAGAAATAAGGAAGGAATCAAATTTAATACCCTCAGGAACCAAAATCCAGCATTGAGACTGCGAATCTCTGTCCAGTTAAAGAACGAGGCGTCGTGGTCCTGACGGGCTGGAAACAGTTTGTCCACATTGGTGGTCCTGCGTAATGTGCGGTCCCTCATCAAAAAGGGCACTCCATCCAGACTAAAGCAAAAAAACAAAACATCCAATCACATTAGAGTCAGGTTACTGCGAGCAAATTAGAGCTGCTGCTATTCTTTTCTCACATTCAAAAAGATACGATAAAATCAAATAAAATAAAATACAAAATAAAATATCAAATAAATTACTATTAATTCAAAGAGGTATGATAAAAAAATAAAATAAACCAGATAAATACCATAAATTAAAAATAAATAAAATAAAATAAAACATTATGATTCATTCAGGTATGAGAGGTATGTTTCATAAAGTCATAATACCTGATGGTAACATCTGCTTCCAGGGCAGTGACCTTCTGTTGCAGTGCTTTACTGAAGGACATAATGGTGTGTTCTGGAGCGAGCTGAGAGAGAGAGGAAGAGTGTAATGGGAGTTACTATCTTAACACTCCTTCGAGGAAGTCAAACAAACTGGTTAAATCTTCATTGTACAATCAACTTAATGTTTAGACAGAGTGTAAGTGTGGTTCTCTACAGCAGGGACACACGCTCCTTCCAGCGCTTTCTAACTGTTGCTAAACTTCAGAGAGAAACCTGGATGCCAAACATCCGGCCTGAAAAACCAGGATTATGAAACTCACCATTGGAGCTCCACGACGGCCAATGACAGCAGGACGAGGACCGAGCTTGGACCGGTCCATGATGCAGGGAGAAGAGATGAAGAGGGGAACCAGATACAGAACCAGGAGGATGCTCACATAAATCACCAGCATCACAACTTGAAGCCCTGGATAAACACACAAACATATGCAAAAAAAAAAAGTGTCAAAAACCGTCACCACTGTTTAAAAGGTTTGGATCAATAATCTTTTTTTGCACACCTAGGCTGCATTTATTTGTTCAAAAATAAAGTAAAAACACTAATATTGTGAAATATTATTACCATTTAAAAGAACCGTTTTCTATTTTAATATATATTTTAGGATGTAATTTATTTATGTCACGTGATCCTTCAGAAATCATTCTAATATGCTGATTTGCCACTCAAGAAACATTTCTTATTATTATCAATGTTGATAACAGTTGTGCACTTCATATTTTTGTGGAAACAGAAAAAAAAATTTTTAGTTTTTTTTTTTATTAATACAAAGTTCAAAAGAATAGCATTTGTCACACATTTGATAAACTGAATACATCCTCACTGAATAAAAGTATTCATTTCTTTCAAAAACAAACAAACAAGCAAAAACTTACTGAAGGGTAGTGCACATATATTTTACAATTACATGTTGTCAAAGTGTAGGGGCCGTCTTAGCTTTGACCCAGTCTGTCTTTTCCCCTCACATGACCTTCAACTCACTTGATCTTTCCATGCGCACCACCTGATTGGTGATGACCCACCCTAATGCTGTGACCGCAGCTAAAGCTCCGATGTGTAGGAACGGCCCTGTGAACTACAACAGCAAAAACATACAATTCATTGAATTACTTGTCAAGAAAGATCTCAAGACACTGGACAGTAATATGCTGATGAGGTTGCTCCAACCTGCAGAGAAATGATGACAATGTCCCATTCGTCCTGCCAGAAATCATCAATGGACACCACTCCTGTTATGGTGGAGAGCAGAATGGCCAGAACTACAATCTGTAGGAAATAAAACTTGTTTTAATATACATTCAGAACTTCAGTCTAGTTCTAGTCTTAAACAGATTTACAAACTCGTCTCACCTTATGGATCCAGTACAAATTAAGCTGCTGTCCCAGTGCAATGTGACAAAGTGCAAGAATCTGAAAAAAGAAATAAAAATAAAACAGCAAATTATAAATAAAATAATTATTAAAAATAAAAATAATACATAAAAATAAATAAAAGTAATACAAAATTTAACTTTTCTAGAGATATTGTGTTATATCTTGTATATAACAATAACATCAATAATGATAAAAAAATATTATTATATTAAAAAAAATATTAAAATATGTGTGCACAATTATTAAGGCTACAATGGTGATGTTTTGAACCAACAAGCAGTCAGTCATGGCTTCACCATGTGAATGCGACCATTAAAAGGCCATAAAAAGTTTAAAGGCAGCTCACTTTCTCTATGCCACATGTGCACGTCTGAAGAGCGCTCACCATTAAAAATGCAGTGTAAGTGAATCCTGTGAGTGTTGTGGCGAGAATGGGGACTGTGCCATCCTTCCAAACGGCCGAACGATTATATAACAACCTGCCAGAGAAACAAAACCATCAACAGCTCTCATACCAGCAGGGATAAAAAAACACAAAGCATGCTTTACATACATGAGGTTTTCCAACACTTAGGGCCAGTTTTACTAACAGCTTGTGCCAGTGCAAACCGTCTTTTGGCATTAAAATAGTATTGTCAGGATTTACTAAAGACGCGCAGTGACGAATTAGCACTGAAAAGGCGTGGACACAGTTATATTTGCGCATGACCTTATTGAATATGCATTTGTAGGCAGTGGCGGCTCGTCGGGGGAGGCACAGCTTCCCCATAATTTTGAGGTGAAAATGGGAGGAGGACGATTTAATGTTAATAAAATTCACAATTCATTTCAGTTCATGTCTCAGAATGTGTATTTTATGTTTGTAATTTCACAGCTGTAATACCATAACATGTTAATGAAGTTGGAAAGCGCCGCTTTTCTATCGCGAATGTGCCGAATCTGCTGATGTAATTACAACCGCTAGGTGATATAGAAGGGTAGGGGGAGGCCGGGAGAGAGCTGGGGCAAGTTCAAGCTCAAACCGGTGCGCAACGTTTTGCTACGGTTTCCGG